GAAAGGGTACGGTCCAGAGGAACGCTCCTGGGTTCCAGCCTCTGATGTCCATGCACCATCCCTCCTTCGTTCCTATCACGCTCGCTTCCCCATGAAGCCCGGACCCACCAGCAGAAATGGGGGGAGTTGTTGAGGGGGAGGTACTGTCAGGGTTTCTTTGCTGTTTTAAACAGCCACCCTTCCTTTTTCAGTGTCTGAGGTTTCAGCTGTAATTAACGATCAGCTCCTTCAGCATGTTGCCACGGTTACTCACCTGAGAATAGTAATCAACCCTGCTGCTAATCAGTTCAGCCTATTTAAGCAGCAAATCCCAGAACCTCCAGGCCCTTGCGTGGTTTCCTGTTCCCCAGAAGTCTCCTTGTTCCTGTGTTTCCTGTTTGCTCCTGGTTCCTGACTCTGGCCTTGTTCCTGACTCCGCTGCTCTCCGTTCTCTTGATCCTGGCTCGTCTGACTACCCGCTCTGGTGACTGACCCCTGCTTGCCTCCTGGACTTTGCGTTTGGTTATTTCTTTGTTATTTATTAAATAAAGGTGTTTTTGCATCTAGATCTGTCTCTGTCTGGTTCCTGACTGTGTGTGTTAGTGTGTTAGTGTGTGTGTGTTAGTGTCAGTGAGTGTGTCTGTTATTGGGTGTGTGTCTGCTAGTGAGTGTGTTACTGTGTGTGTCTGATGTCTGTTAGTGAGTGTATGTCTGTCACTGAGTGTGTCTCTGTCAGTAAATGTGTGTGTCTGTTAGCTAGTGTGTATGCGTCTGTTCGTGAGAGTGTGTGTGTCTTCAGCATTTACCTTTCTCCAGCGTCGGACTCCCTTGGCGCTGGGGATCCCTCCGCCTCTCGGCTCCGAATGCACATGCACGGCAAGAGGCCGCTCAGTGCTTTCCTATGGATGTTCAGTATCTTCTCACTGTGATTTTCACAGTGAGAATCGCGGAATCTCCTCTAGCGGCTGTCAATGAGACAGCCACCAGAGGCTGGATTAACCCTCAGTGAAACATAGCCGTTTCTCTGAAACGGCTATGTTTTCAGCTGCAGAGTTAAAACTAGAGGGACCTGGCACCCAGACCATTTCATTGATCTGGGTGTCTGTAGTGGTCCTTTAAGTGTGTGTGCATACCGTGGTCGCAGGGTCGCAGCCCTGCAACCCCTGCGACCAGGTGCCCGCCGCCATGTGTTGCGGCCCCGACCCGCGCCGAGTAAGCGCGGGGGGGGGCACGGATCAATTTTCGCACCGGGGCCCCATGGGTCATGTGTATGCCACTGACAGTGTGTGTGTGTGTGAGTGTGAAGGGGCAACTCTTCAGCAGGGGAGGGAGAGAAGAGACCTTCAAGCTCTAGCCTTACCATGGCAACGCTCCAATCTCGTGAGAGTGAACTCTAGCCCCAGGAGCTGCAGGCTAGAGTTCACTCACCACAAGATCACCAGGGCTTGTGCAGAAATCCCCCTCCCGGAGGGTAAGAAGAAGGGAGTGGGGATATGAAGTTTTTTTTTGTAATAAATAAATAAATAAATATATATAAAAAAATAAAATATATATATATATATATTCAAAAATAGGTAAGGAAGGCACTCCTCCTGAAATTCCTCTAATGATAGGTCAGATGCCTAGGTGCAATCCCACGTCCAAATATGCATAAATCAATAAGGGGAGCACACCAGGACTTCAATATCGTGAAAAAAAGTATTTACTGTATCACAATCATGGTACAGATTCTGTGCAACGTTTCGACCCTGCTGGGGTCTTTATCAAGATCACAGTGAAGTATAATTATAGTGAACAATATTTACATACAAATGAAGTAATGCTTACCAATCAGATTAGAATACATGCATATATACAACGGATATACTATTTATTCATTATCCGCTAAATAACAGCATATTAACAAGATTTGTTGATGCACTTTTTGGGATATAAAATGTATATGTATAATTGATTTTATTATTTCCCCATCAGGGATTGATCTGTCTTGTAGTTTTTATGCATTGCTGTTTTCACAGATATTCACATTTGTATATATATTTTTTTGCACCATGCACTTTTCTCTCACTGATAGATCATCTGTAATTTGGGGATTCTATATATTTTTTTCCTCCATATGTAGTGCTCGTGTGTGTATCTCCGATCTCTGGTTAGAGAAGGGAGTTCTGACACTATTAGATTGGTTGCATAGCAACCTTGTCACATGCACTCTTGTCACATGACAACCCTCACGTGGTTGGAGCACGTCCGGGCATCACGGCGGTGCCGGCCGCTTGATTTCTTGTTTACAATATAGTCACTATTTGGTAGGTTGCTTAGCAACCTAGTCACATGCTACGCACCGTGCACGTGGTTTCCTCACTTCCGGGTCCTGTAGTTGATCGGGGTCCTGATTATCTGATTGGTAAGCATTACTTCATTTGTATGTATATATTGTTCACTATAATTATACTTCACTGTGATCTTGATAAAGACCCCAGCAGGGTCGAAACGTTGATTTCTTTTGCACAGAATCTGTACCATGATTGTGATACAGTAAATACTTTTTTTCACGATATTGAAGTCCTGGTGTACTCCCCTTATTGATTTATATATATATATATATATATATATATATATATATATATATATATACCTGAAAAGAACTGTGCCTAAAAAGACTTTAACCACTGTGACAGAAGCTCTCATGGCATGGCCTTCTAGATAGGACACAGACCCACAGACTATGGACCTGGTCTCAGTAGTCCCTGAAAAAAGTGTGGACATTGGCATAATGCTGGCGTGCAAATGAGGGCAACCACACACATGATTAAATGTATATATTATTTATTTTTGTTGTGTTTGGAAATGTTATTTGTTTTATATAGTAAATGTTTTCAATTTAACTGCTCATATGCTAATGTTATATGTATTTGTATTTTAAATGTTTGTCACCACATGTTTAAGGACTAGTCCCCAAAGGCTAGTCCTTGTCCAAAATAAAGTTTTGTATGTTACTTCCTTTTGGAACTCTGTGTCCTGTGTGGATGCTTAGTGATCCCAGTAACAGAGCCTGCGGACCTGTTGGCTGGCTCCACGATCCCTCTAGCCTTGGGGCAAATCAAGAGAGCTATCACTATGAGCAGAGCTGCAGAGAAATAGGCAGAGAGGACTATACCTGCTTGAAAGAAGTGTCCGATCAAGTTGAAGAGTTCTGGAGAAACTCCAGTCAAGCTTTGGTGCTTCACCCCCTGCTGGTCAACCTGTGATTGAGCTGTGCTCCCCAACTAGGCGGCTGCACACCGGCCAAAGAGTATACTGGTCCACTGTGAATTTTCCCTGCTTCACGGGAAAATCCGGTTCTGGGAACTGCTTCCTCCAGTGCAGCTACTCCTGAACTGATGCTACCCGCATCTTCACTCAAACAAGCAAATCTGCTATGCTGCACACATTCAGGACTTGCTAAGCCTTTCCTTTTCCTTCCCCCTCTGCCACATGTAGCTCTTACACAGCTAAGTGCCTGTTCCCTGACTGTCTTATCTTCACCCACTCCACTAGATCCCCCACTAAACTCTGCTCGGTGAGTAGAGACCCCTTTCAAAATTGTCAGTCTGCCTTCATGTTGCTTCTCAAGGTTTCCAATATAAATCAAGTAAAGCCACTCACACCTATCACGGAGGTATGGACCCTGGACAGATTCATCCAGGCATGCATACATGTAGCAAGCTGAACATTGAGTCAGACCTGCAAGCTTGCTAACACCAATTACAGACACTCCTCACTTACCATCCGGGTTCCATTCCTACGACTAGAACGAATTTGTTGGTAAATGAGGAGTTCCCTGCTCTGGTGATGAATGCACTAGAGCAGGGAACCCCTCTAATCTATGTTTGGGGAAATTTCCCCGAAATGTATGCACATACACACATACACACATACATACATACTTACATACTTACACAATATACATACAAATTAACACACAGATGCACACATAGAAAAGCACTGATACATACACACATTCATACACACACTGACATGCAGATACACACTGGCATATATACACACACACCCAGAAGCACACCCTGACACGCAGATGCAGACCCTGACACATATGCATACACACTGACATGTAAAGACACACATAGATGCACACCCTGACACACAGATACTTGCACACTGACTCACACATGCACACTGACACACATACTGGTGTACACCCTGACACACAGATACACAAACACACATACACAGATGCACACACTGAAGTGATCGGCTTTCCCTTCCTCCCAGCTGGTCAAATATTACATGGGCCTGGACACACTTTTAAAGGGCTTTGGCCCCCGACCGGGCCCCTATTCAGCGATAAAGCAACAATACCCATCATGTGGCCCTAAATCCATGGACAACCCGATGGGCTCCCATAGTGTGCAGGCCCCGGTGCAGCCGGCGGTAGTTTCACCAATGCCTTTCAGGGCCCTAGGTATAATCTGAGCATCATTTGAGTGGCACGCACAGCTAAACATCGCTGTTGTCCACACATCGATTTATGGGAGCCGTCTATAATATCCAGATGGATAATACTCCAAGCCAAAAAGCACACACCATCTATTGCTGGGTTCACAAACATGATGAATTTACTCCAATTTCCTGCTCAGCCTGTAGATCTAGAATGTCCAGAACTTTCATAGTGCTGTAGAGTCAGTATGACCAGTAATGTCTCCAGCAACTCTTGGAGTCCATGTGGTGCGGAATTCTGGAGACAAAGGGAGGAGCCTACCTCCTTAGAAATATATCCACCCAATAAGCTGCCTGCTTCATATAAAATGTTTATATCAGACAGGATTATTGAACATCGAGCTGTCCTGTTTTCAGTATAAGAATATTGTTTAATTAATGTGTTTTATATATGTCACTGTTTTCTTTTATGTTCAATATGTTTTAGAAGTTGTGCGATCCAACTATGACACCCTGACCTTGAAACTTCATTATGGCCTAGATCAATACGAGAGGTATTCCGAACAGCATAGAAAAGCGGCTTTCTTTAAGGAGTTGGTGAGTTTTCTATTCTCTTTAAGCAATTAAGCCTATATTCAGAATGGATTGGTACTGACAACTTCACCTTATAGCAAATAATTTAAAAGTAATGAAAGAATGTGACAAAGCCGGGTGAAAGGCTGGAAAGCTAGGGTGTATTCTGCAGGCATTTCATCCTGCTTCGTCACATTATAACAAAGGAATAGTCACAGGAGAGTCTTTAGAGATGACTTATTACATGAAATGTAAGTTTTGGACAAACGCAGATGCATCCTTGCCTGGAATCAATCCTGTGCTTTATAGAGTTAATATTAAATGGGCCTAGAAACTTTATTTTGCCAACAAGTAATATGAAGATACTTTGTATCTTCTGCAATGGATGTATTTAGAAATATGATTTTATACTGTTTACGCCTGAATTGGAGTATGTACTAAAAAGAGTTGAAGTGATCACAATTGTTCTCTTTTAGGTTCGATCAATCAGCATCAATGTTCGGAAAAATCTTGCTTTTAACACACTGAGCCAGGAAATTCTTCTGAAGGAATTTTCAACCATTTCATGAAAATGAACTCCTAATGTGATCAGATGGCCACCAGAAGAGCTGGGACACATTTCTACTAGCACTGTGGGTGGACTGTTGCGTCATTGTTTCTATTTCCTTTACACATAACCTGCCTTTTTAGAGTACAAACATAGGTCTTTGATGAATTCAGTTTCCCATTGTTCCAAATATATTGTCTAACTAAAAGAATGGAAATGACGCCCCATCTCCCTGCTTAACGCGGACACAAAGCTCTTTGCTAAAATTCTTGCCAACAGAATACGCCCCATCCTGGGTACACTCGTTTCTCCGGAGCAATCGGGTTTTGTCCCGGAACGTCAGGTAGAGGACAACACAAGGCGTGCACTAGACATAATGGAACTCCTGACAGTACATAGAACACAGGGACTACTAATGGCCCTTGACGCGGAGAAGGCCTTCGACCGGCTACACTGGGGCTACATGACGGAGGTCCTCCGCAGGTTTGGATTCCCCGACAAATTTCTCAATGGCCTCCGGTCACTGTATTCCTCCCCGACAGCCGTGGTTGTGAGCTCCGGTTTCACCTCTCAACGCTTTGCCCTGACAAATGGCACGAGACAGGGATGCCCATTGTCGCCCCTTATCTTTATCTTGTCACTAGAACCGCTAATGCACACAATTAAACAGGAGGAGTGCGTCACGGGTATCCCCATACTAATAGGTCCCCAAAAAATAGCAGCCTTTGCTGACGACATCCTGCTATTTCTGACTAACCCGACAGAATCATTGAAACATCTCCTACTCCTGCTCCATGACTATGGCCAAGTGTCCTATTACAAAAACAACGAGGCAAAGACTCAGGTATTACCCTTTAACGTGCCCCACCCTCACCTAACTGCCCTGCGAGCTCAGTACCCCTTTGACTGGCGGAAAGACAATCTCTCCTACCTAGGTACAAAACTGGCACCCTCGAGACGCAACCTACTCCGACATAACCATGACGCCTTGCTAAATAAAACTGAGACACTGCTGGAGAGCTGGGGGGCAAAAAACACATCATGGCTGGGACGCATAAACTCCATAAAAATGATCATACTCCCCCAAATATTATTCCTCTTCAGGGCCCTGCCCATTGAGATACCGAAGGGGCTACTACAACGATTCCAGCATCTGTTAAACGCACACATATGGAAGAAGAAACCACCTAGGGTTTCTCTGGCAAGCACAACACTGGCTATGGGGAAAGGGGGGCTGGGTGTACCCAATATTTCTAAATACTACATAGCCATGAATCTATCCCAAACAGCAAGATTGCTGAGAACCCCAAACTGCCCCCTGTGGTACCAATTAGAAACGGCAACTGCTACGCCCCATGCACTATTAGACTTACTCTGGGTCCCGACCAGATCGCACCCACGCGACGCAAACATGCTGGTGACCACAAAACATTCTCTCCGCATATGGCACAGGTGGGCCCCGAAACTCCTAGCCTAACCTCTGATACTATACGCCCCCATGACTAGCCTAAAGTACCTCACACAAGATCTGGTTCTAGACGGGTGGTTGGCACAGGGGATAGAGAGGGTATCCCAAATAATGGAGGGTAATGAGATCAGACAATTCCCAACACTTCAGTGGACCTTCCTCATCCCGGGTAGGGAATTCTTCACCTACCTTTGCATTAAGCACATAATGCAGGGGATCAAACAAGCGACACCCAACACCAGAGAGCCGGGCTCGTTCGACACATTGTGCCTCAGGCGTAAGACCCAAGCAAAACCACTCTCTCTATGTTACCAAAATCTCCTAGAGATAGGCAAGCCTGATAAGTTAAGCTACATGGTACACTGGGAATCGGAACTCAATAGCACAATAGAGAGTAGTAAATGGTCCGCAGCGATGGCGCTTGTGAAACGAGCCACACACTGCCTGGACCATGTTGAGGCGGCCTATAAACTCTGGATGAGGTGGTATCTCACCCCACGGAGGCTGGCACTTATATACCCAGGGGCACAACAGGTATGCTGGCACTGCTGCGCACAGACGGGTACTTTGAGCCATATCTTTTGGCAATGTCCAGTACTACACAATTTCTGGAGACAGGTACAAGTGTTACTCCAAAGCAGTATACAGAAAAGGATACCATTCACACCTGAGGCTTACCTCCTACACATGCTTCCCAAATCACTGACTCACCCGGAGGCGGTGCTGACCACCCATGTTACCTTAGCAGCCAAACACTGTATAGCTTCCCTCTGGAAATCTACCTCAGCCCCGGAAATAACAGTGGTAGTTAACAGAATAAACCTCACGCAACACCTTGAGAAAATAGCGCATACGATCCAGGGCACCCTAGCACGATACAACCTGATCTGGTCCAACTGGTCTGGACAATGAGACGAAGCCCGTGTCGTTCTAGGTCAGCCAAGAGAAAACAGTAATAGGGGACTAACCCACCCCAGATGTACAAGGAAAAAGAAATACTGGGAAGCCCCCCTAAGCTAAACTCCCGTATAAACAGAGGTATCTGGAGAACAGTGGCTAAATGAGCCACCGCAAAACACAACAAGGTGTAGAGACATCTCAACCCACCACCCTTACCCTTACCCGGTTGCTGACCCCTCAACCCCACCATCCCCAGCAGCTAACCACGCTGGCAATGATGCAGATCTGAAACGGCCTAATGAGCGACCTAGCGGTCGGCGCAGTACACTGGCCAAAGTAGTACCCCCCCCCTCTCATACTGAGTCGGAGGCCTGCGAGGCCCGAGTAGAGCCACGCCACGACCCCCACTGTGTGCAACGACTGTGCTCGGAGGCTGACTCTCAAATTGCTCACACAACAATGTAACCATACAATGTATCTTGCGCAACATGTGTGTGTAAGAATCAATTGTATTTGCACTCGACAATGTGACCTGCTTGTGTGTAATTATTTACCCTTACCCCTTTTTCATTTCTGTACCCCGCTGTTTATATTTCCATGATAAAAACCAATAAAAATGATACATTGGAAAAAAAAGAATGGAAATGAAAACTTAGCTTCCTAGAGACTGCTTGAGACTTTACTTGTGCAATTTTATTTTTTAGAGGAAATTAAGTTAATGGTGACACTGACTTATCCAGAATCCTTCTTTGTTTCTCCTACATAGACACAACAGGTTAGTGATAGCTTTTTTAAAATTCCTTTATTAAAGATAATACAAGCACAGAGCAAATGGAAGCAGACTAAGACTCTAAATTATTTATATTAACCCCTTAAGGACGGAGCTAAATGTACACGTTGTGAACGAAACAAAATGTAAACAAAACCTGGCATTTGCGCTACATGTCTGTCCAACCGTAATACACCTTTTTCATATTAAATGCACCCACCCTTATTATATATCATTTTATTCTGGGGAAACAGGGCTTTCATTTAATATCAAATATTTAGCTATGAAACATAATTTAATATGAAAAAAATGGGAGAAAATAAGATTTATTTTTGATTTTTTTTTGTTCTACATGACATTTTAACGGTTAATGTCATAATACTGTTTGCTTTTACTGCAATAAAATACACATATTTGTATTCAGCAAAGTCCCACGTGTAAAACAGTACTCCCTATGTACAGGATTTATGGCATTTTGGGAAGTTACAGGGTCAAATATAGCACGTTACATTTGAAATTGAAATTCGCCAGATTGGTTACGTTGCCTTTGGGACTTTATAGTAGCCCAGGAAAGAAATTTACACCCATAATGGCATATCATTTGCAATAGTAGACAACCCAAGGTATTGCAAATGGGGTATGTCCAGTCTTTTTTAGTAGCCATTTGTTCACAAACACTGGCCTAAGTTAGTGTTAGTATTTGTTTGTGTGTGAAAAATGCAAAAAATGCCAATTTTGGCCAGTGTTTGTGACTAAGTGGCTACTAAAAAAGACTGGACATACCCCGTTTGCAATACCTTCGGTTGTCTACTATTGCAAATGGTATGCCATCATAGGGGTATTTTTCATTCTTGGGCTACCATAGGGTCTCAAAGGCAACATAACCAATCTGGCGAATTTTAATGTGAAAAAAATGAAACACAAGCTTTATATTTGACGCTGTAACGTTTGAAAACACCATAAAACCTGTACATGAGGGGTACTGTTGTACTCGGGAGACTTCGCTGAACACAAATATTTGTGTTTGAAAACAGTAAAAAGTATCGCAGCAATAATATCGTCCGTGTAAGTGCTGTTTGTGCATGAAAAATGCAAAACACTTCGCTTTTAATGGTGATATCATCGTTGTAATACATTTTACTGTTTTGAAACACTACTATTTGTGTTCAGTGAAGTCTCCCGAGAAGAACAGTACCCCCCATGTACAGGTTGTATGGTGTCTTGGAAAGTTATAGGGTTAAATATAGTGCTAGCAAATTAAATTCCCTTTACTTTCGGCATGGGTTGTCAGGCAGGTCCCACTAATTGTAATTAATTAAGATACCTAATTATGTAAAAATATTACATAAATATGTATGTAGAATTAATATATGTATATATATACGTATGTGAATATATATGTATATATATATAATTTTTTAAAATATTTTTATTTATATATAGGTATATATATATAGTGATATATACGTATATATTTATGTATATAGATATATATTATTTCTTTCTATGTGTATTTTGATATAAATATATATTTATTAATATCACAATACAGTTAGAACGAAATAACACACATCTATATATTTTTTAATTATTTTTTTAATTTTATTTTTTTTACGTATTTACATATTTAATTTTTTTATATTATATATAAATATATATATAACAATAATTATATATATATTTAATCAGTATCAGTCTACGTGTAATTTGATATTAATATATATATATATATATATAATTATATATATATTAATAGTAAAATACACCAAGACGGTATATGTCTGTGTATGTGTATATATATACTTAGATCATATATATATATAATATATATATGATCTAAGTATATATTATTTTTTTTTACACTTATTTAACTTTTTTACATTTTATTTCCAGCCAGCAGGGGGACTACCTGTCATTACAGGCAGTCCCCCTGCTGGCAATGCAGGAGGCAGCTATCCCGGCCATGTGATTGTGAGGTACTCGCAAGGACCTCACTCTCACATGGCCGGGGGGGCTGCCAGGGGGTCGGACGTGCCGCGGGGGGCTCCCTGGGAGTCCCCCCAACCGCGATCGGTTGTATAGAAAGACCGGAGGGCGTACTATTACGCCCAGCGGCGTTTAGAGCCATCTAAAATAGGGCGTAATAGTACACCCTCCGGTCTTAAGGGGTTAAAGGATCACTATAGTGCCAGGAAAACATACTCGTTTTCCTGGCACTATAGTGCCCTGAGGGTGCCCCCACCTCTGGGGAGAGGAAGGGGTTAAAATCTTACCTTTCTCCAGCGCCGGGCGGGGAGCTCTCCTCCTCCTCTCCTCCTCCATAGCGACGTCATCGGCTGAATGCTTATGCGCGGCAGGAGCCGTGCGCACATTCAGCCAGTTCATAGGAAAGCATTTACACAGTGAGTGATTTTCACAGTGAGAAGCCTGCAAGCGCCTCTAGCAGCTGTCAATGAGACAGCCACTAGAGGCTCTAGAGCAGGGGTTCTCAACCCAGTCCTCAGGACCCCCTACCAGTCCAGGATTTGGGGATTACCTGGGTGTGTCTCAGGTGTTTAGAAAAAGGGAAAAAAACACCTTAGACTCTAAGGTGTTTTTTTTTTTCTAAACACTTTAGACACACCCAGGTAATCCCTAAACCCTGGACTGGTAGGGGGTCCTGAGGACTAACGTTGAGAACCCCTGCTCTAGAGGCTGGATTAACTCTAATATAAACAAAGCAGTTTCTCTGAAACTGCTATGTTTATAAAAAAAAGGGTTAACCCTAGCTGGACCAGGCACCCAGACCACTTCATTAAGCTGAAGTGGTCTGGGTGCCTATAGTGGTCCTTTAATATAAAACAGGTTTAGCAAGTGTTCGTGAGATTGTTTGGACATGTCCGCTGTACAGTAATTAAAAAGTTATTCGCTAAAGACTGAGTTATCTGAAAAACAAAGTGAATTAAATGTGAAATGTAAATATTCTAGGTCAGAATTGGACTGAAAACAACTGATTTTGCAGTTTTTTCCCAATTCAACAATTATGGTATAATATACTTGAACTTCACTTTGAATCCCTGACAATTCACATTTTACTGATTTACATTATTATTAAAAGAATATTACTTTTTGTATTGCTGTTTACATTACTGTTTTGTTCAGCTAGTGCTATAAGGGATAAACAATAAAACGCAGTAAATACATTTATATCATGTTTCCTCTTGTGGAAAAAAAAAAAAGCTCTCCATCATTGCTGAGACCTGTGTTCTTGTTAAGGGGCCAATTCAGTGTGTTTTATGAATGGTAGCAATAGTTCCTTTAACATGTAAGCCTAAATAAATAATTAAATGAAAGATGGAAATATGAAATATAAGAAACCACCTGGCTTCCTGGCAATGCTTCCGTTTCAAGAGGAAGTTTCACTAATGTCAATATTTAGAAAACTGATACTGGGATAAAAACCAATGAGAAATTGCTGCTTTTATTTGGATTTAAGAATGTTTATTTGCTGGATTCAAAAGTAATCTACTCAAATGTGACAGTTTCAGTTTATGTATGTGACATTAACTTATCCAACGCAAGTCATAGTGATTCATATTTTATTGCACGGCTGTCAAAAAGCTCCTGAATTCTTCACTTTGCTGAACAGTTATATGGAGACAAATAAATGTGATTCGTATGGAGATTCACCTGTAATTCAGGAAAAAGATTTTCATGAAAGCATAAAATCCCAAAGGGTTATTGTTTATGTATAAAATGTGTACTGCTGAATATTTGTATATCATACTATGCAATAATACATTATTTATATGAATTAATGCATGCGGTGATCCCCAGCTGTTGTAGGACTACTACTTCCATGATGCTTTGTATTCCTTTAACAGAAACAGTAACATTATAGTAACAGAAACAGTAACAGAAACAGTAACATTATAGTGCCAGGAAAACTAAGCCACCTACCCCCACATGATGCAGAAGGGCTTAACTATCCCTTCTGTCACTTACCTGAGTCCAGCGTCTATGTCCCTTGGCAATGGCTTGTGTCCGCCTCTGTTCCTTCCCTGCCGATGTAAGCCTGCGGGGGAGACACAACGCGCATTAGAATGCAACAGACATTAGTATACAGCCACTAGATGAGTTAACCCATAATGGTAATTATTGCAGTTTATTGCAATAATTACTTTTCCAGGTTTAAAGGGACACTGTAGGTACCCAGACCACTTCAGCTCATTGAAGTGGTCTGGGTACACTGTCCCAATTGCCCTTAGTGCTGCAATGCTAAACAGTGGAGGGCCAGAGAAACTGCAATATTTACATTGCAGCTTTAAGTCTGCCCACAGTGGCTATCTACCAGAAAGCCACTAGAAGGCTTCCTAAACCTTTGTTCCAGTATCTGACACTGGATGTCCTCACGTTCTACATGAGGACCTCCAGTGTCTGATTTTTCCCCATAGGAAAGCATTGATTCTCAGATTTTATTCGTTTTTTTTTTTTTTTAATAATACCTAATCTACGCAAAAATAATGGGGGTTCCTCATTCAAGGGCCCTATTTAGCCTTGTACTGCAGAGAGCCCCAGATGGAATTTTTCCCCCAAGTAAGTGGATTAGTCTCATAAGAGCAGACATTAAGCTGTTAGAGTAGGACCTGCCAAAAATGGGGTACATTGACGTTGTGGCAGGCTTATGCAATGTATGATCATATGATGTAACTAACCCCCCATTATTTTGAGCTATATTAGGTGTTTAAAAAACAAAAAACTAATAAAATCTGCCAACATTAAAGTTGCTGTTTAGTGGATAAGTGAGTGCGCTGGATCTTGTGTATTGTATAAATTGGCCCCCAGCAGCACCCCATTTATGCATGTTCAGGTGAGTGCAGCCCCCTGGTTTCATCTAACATGTAATATAGAAATAGTGCTGTAAAACCACCAATTTATTAATTTCTTTTTTTGTCTGTCTCACAATTCAAATATGAAAAAAATGATATAAAAAGTGCTAGTATTGTTTCAAAATACGTTATAAGCCCTTGTACTCTGCACTTTGGAGACAAGTGTTGCAGGTTTTGCTGAGACAGCAGTGCTGGATGGGATACCAATTAACGGTAGTTGTACTGGTAATGTGGGCGTTGCTCTGGTTTGAGCCTAACAATCCGTATTACCTAGGTCAGCGAGCTCTGGAAAAACGATAATGATTTCCTGTCACCATATACTGTCTTGATCCTTCAACGTTCTCCTGGGAACAGAACGTTCCTGCTGGTTTCATTCTTTGTTTTTTCTATTAGATTCAATCTTCTGTTTTCATAATTGACTTAGCTGATTGAAAGCTTCCCAATTTTATCCAGAGCAAAGAGTTGACCGATCAGCTACAGACAAATTCAAAATGGTCCTTTTTTAATGCAAATATTAGTGTATAACAAATACATCGAGGTTCATGTATAAATGTCTGTTCTGAAAAGTGGCGCAAACATGGGAAAGGAGAGGAGTGACCAATGCAATGGGGTTGCATGTTCAACTGGATTCCACGGTGACAACTCAACTTGGAGTACTTTAGAACACTTTTCAGAAAACCATACTTTTTGTTTGCAATCATAAAATGGCATAAATCCTGCATATCCCCAACCACCTCTTTTATATTTTACTCATTGTTGATAAAAACATTTTTTTATTTTTTGAGTGTTTATGTCACTTCATTCCTTCATCACCTAATAAAAATGTTGATGCTGACCATTTATCTTTTGAATAAACACATAGTGTATGTAATTACGGAAAGGGGTACCTGTCGTTTACTTAAAATCTTTGGTCTATTTACGAAATATCAAGTGGCAGAGGTCTGGGGATTGGAATCTTCACATTGGTACATTGGAAAGTTATCTCAGCAATCTGATTGGTAGCAAGACAGACAACAATCTTAAAGGGACCACAGGGTTAACTACACATTTTAAATGCATCTCAAGAGATAAATATAACCAGTTACTCGCCTTTGATTTATCCTCATTTCCTGCATATCTGGAGCTTTGTCAGACGTGTCAGGGAGTGGATGGTGCTGACACAGACCATATGTCTGTCTTTCTATCTGAGATGGTGTTGTTCTAAACAACCGACTAATTTATCTGCAGCCCAACAAATCCTCCAGATCCGGTTTACTTAATGGTCAAGTGTATTTTATCAATGGTTCCAGTCAGTTTTATTTTCTGTTTGCTTGTGTGATGCCTCGATTAGTAGCCGAGGAGCTATTGTTGTGAATTATCATGCAGTCTTACATGGGTTACACTTTATTTTAAGTTTTTTGTTTTTTTTAAACAGCCGATGGCGAAATGTAATTTCCTTGGATTTCTAATGTTATGTTTTTTTTATCGTAATACAACTGATACTGATTGCCAATATTTAAGAAATATATCAAACAAAAATAATCCACAGACATAAAATGACAAACGCCAAACAGCACACAGAGTAGTATTGTGAAATAAAAACCTTTTTTGCACTCACAAAGGAACCGGAGAAACAAGGTGCAGCTCCCACTTAAATGAAGACTCCAGTGTGAAAAAAAATACAAATTAAAAAAAAATAAATATAAATAAATCACTATTATTAGATACACCCCTATGACACAATGAATGTATTTAATTTAAATTTCCATTAAGCATACATCTAAAAACAGCTTGTGGAAGCTGCAGATCTCTTTTCTGCAGCCTTTGCATGTCCTCTCCTTTTAACCCAATCCAGACTTTCGGTGGCTGAGAAGTCTTTGCAAGGCAGGTGCTCTGAGATATTGCTGCCTCTTCAGTTTCTCTTCACTGAGCTAACCAAACCAGGAAGTAACAGGACCGACTGTTTGATTGACAGCAAGGGTGATGTAACAAAGTTAATTTATTAAAGTGCCCATTTCAATTGAAATCTGTACTTTTTTTAAATGAAAAAAACACACTGTTCACACAAAAAAAAACTTCAGCAAGCCATGACTATGAGTATTTCTGTTTATTGTAATTTTAAAATCTTGAACATACCTTATCAGAAAGTAGAGCATCACATGTAACAACGTTAACATGAATGGTATATGATTGTCAATGTTTTGCTTAGGGATGTGATTTCTAGAACTGACAGTTTCCCTTTAACTCACTTGCTAACCCGAGAGTTTTGCAACCACATTACAATGATCTAGAACCATATTAACGTTCCATTAATTTGTTAAGGTTGGCAGCTGGTACTTTGGGTCTACCAAATCATAGAAACTCGCTGCCAATTCTTTGTTGTGGCTGGACAGGCAATGATTGTGTAATGTCTGTGCCCAAGCCCTTGGCAGTCTTTTTGTTTTGAATGTCTGACTCACATAATGCACTATCCTTTATAATAATCTGGCTTTTGCCCAACACAAGGCTCCATCATTTCTCTTTCATTATCAAACCTCTTATTTTAGTGATGTATCTTATATTCCTTATCAGTCTGTTTGAGTTAGAAGTGGGAAACATATTTGTTACTGTAAACTGAACTTATTTCAATAGTCAGCAATACAATGTTACCAGCACCGAATCTTTGGCATTAAAAAAAAAAAAATAATTTTAGTCTGCATCTACTGGAGCAGTTGTAATTACTTGGATCTGAACACTGATGTTCATGTTAACATGTGAAGAGGCATTAATAACTGCCAGTCCAGTGGGTAGACAGAAATAAGAATTGCTGTTGTAGTCCCTGGTGGGAGAGGTGAAGGGATGGGCAGCTCAAAGTGAATCGGGAACCCAAGCTGTGGATCACTCATTGTGTTCCATGTGTCTAACATACATATAGGCAACAATGTGCAATGTCAATCAGCAGTGGCTAAGGCCAGTAAGGTATTGTCATGCATAAAAAAAGGCATTAATTCTCGGGATGAGAATATCATTTTGCCTCCTTATAAATCACTGGTAAGACCACATATTGAAGATGCTGTGCAATTTTGGGCACCTGTTCTAAAGAAGGATATTATGGCACTAGAAAAAGTGCAGCAGAGGGGTTCTAAATTAATAAAAGGAATGGTACATTTTAGCTATGAAGGTTTACAAAACGGTGCCTTAGAGGGGATATGATTACATTATACAAATATATCCGGGAGCCAATGCAAACCATTGTCTGGAAATCTATTCATAAACCGGACTTTACATAGGACACAAGGTCATACGTTTAGACTGGAAGAAAAAAGATTTAGTCTAAGTAAAGGAAAGTGTTTTTTTTTTTTACTGTAAGAACAATAAGGATGTGGAATTCTCTGCCTGAAGAAGTGGTTTTATCAGAGTCCATACAGATGTTTAAACAGCAATTGGATGAATACTTGTAAAAAACAGAATATTAAAGGATATAATTTTTCAACTGTAATCTAGTAGCTTCTTGATCCAAGGATAAATCTGACTGCCATTCTGGGGTCAAGAAGGATTTTTTTCCTAGCTTGTTGCAAAATTGGAAGTGCTTCAAACTGGGGTTTTGTTGCCTTCTTTTGGATCAACAGCAAAAAACAGATGTGAGGAAGGCTGAACTTGATGGACATGCTTTTCTTTTCAGCTATGTAACTATGTAACTTTATACAATTACAATGAGCTAGAATGGTTCCACTGTCATATGAACATAAAAAATACGTAGACATTTTCATCCAGAGAATAAATGGAGGGGGTAGCACTAAATGAACAAAGAAATCACGTTGGGCTTTCTTTTTGCATCTTGCTTTGTTATATTGGGATTGGCTAAACATCTCATCCACTGAATTATTGTCCTGGAAATGCTGGATAAAGAATAATAAGATAATTAGCCAATGATGAGAGCGAGCACAATAACTTTAGATTTCTATGTGGCTAACGGGTTATTCTCCTCCTGTTCCCACCGATACTATTTAGTACTGACCTGCACACAGGCTGCCTTTAAGAATGTTATTGATTTAAATTCCCCTGCTGCTCGATAGATTTGTGAGAATTTCCACCTGCACAGCTGTCCCTCACTGACTGAGCAGCCTCGCAAAACACTGAAGGGAAGATTGAACGTTTCAACTGCCCATAACTAAGTAACTATTCATCTGGGTGTCACATCTAATGTTCGACAGTCACCTATTGTAATAAACTATTGCACTCTGCCCAGCAATAGGTTTCCTTTAGTTTTTATCTACAACCACAGTATAAAGACAAAACAAAAAACAAACAAACAAACAAACAAGAAACAACACTCACATAAACATCTGTGGCAAGAACCATGTTCTCTTTCTTTATTTGTGTACTTGTCATCACAAAATGTTACGCTTGGCCCACAACCGGCCATAATGAGCCAGTCACAGTTGTTTTAGTGACAAAAGGTGTCTGCTCCAAGGAGATAAGTTGGCCTTGGCACTATAGGGGCATAACTGGGGGGATACCAGGACTGTTGTAAATTGGGAGTGTAACGGATCACCTGGCACCCCGACTGGGTACCTCCGTTGAAGGATGCTCCTAGCGCTTCCTGAGGACTCCAAGCACTCTGGCAGACACCACAATCACCGAACCGGAGAAACAAATAAATTCTCCCAAGCATATGAATGCTGTAGACAGTTGAATAGGAAACCATACGAATAGGTTTACCCTCCTAGCAGTCAAACTGGTACAGCATACAATAAATCCTTCCCCCAATAATGAGCCGATACTTCACTTTGAGGGTTAAACAGGAACTGATTTACTGGGGCTAACTGCCCGGCTTTTATGCAGGTCTCCCACCTGGTGGACACTCCCCTAGGGGACCAAATGGGAGACTGGGACACAAAGGGTAAAAGGACCAATCACAGACTTACACATTTCAACCATCCCACAATGCATCACAATCCCTCCTCTCAGCTCTGGAGATAATTGAGAAGTAATTCAATTATCTCCAAAGACAGAGGCAAAACTCCATTAACCACATGGCAGAAAACAAACAGTAAAAGACATAAAATTACCTACAGTTACATTCAGTACATAAAACATATACGTTCTACATATCCCCAGATAGCTCAGGTCTGAGCGCACATTATTAAGCGAATGGCGCTCAGACCACATGAATACAGTTTAAACGCCATGGAGCCAAAGTCTTTACACAGTCAGTTTCATGCGAATGGGCTCCATGGGATTCCTATCTGGGGTACAACACACTCAAACAAATCTACCGAACACCCGGCAGAAAAGCACGAATAAGTCTTTTCTGCAGGGAAAAAGATGTCTTTTAACATGGGGCCATAGTCCAAAGGCAGCAGGCGAGCAACCAGGCTTCTCCAGTGTACAGTGGCGAGGTTGGTTTCGCCACA